ATAATATACTGTTAAATCGAGAATTGCTTCATTAACACCATTTTCTGCTGCTTTTTGACACCAATAAAAGGCTTTTTTAAAATTCTTTTCTGTTCCTTCTCCATTTCTATAATATAATGTTAAATTGAACATTGCTTCTTTAACCCCATTTTCTGCTGCTTTTTGACACCAATAAAAGGCTTTTTCTAATTTTTTTTCTGTTCCTTCTCCATTTCTATAAAATACCGTTAAATTGAACATTGCTTCTTTAACACCATTTTCTGCTGCTTTTTGACACCAATAAAAGGCTTTTTCTAAATTCTTTTCAGTTCCTTCTCCAATATAATAACATTTAGCCAAATTAAATATTACCTCTATATCACCATTTTCTGCTACTTTTTGATACCAATAAAAGGCTTTTTCTAAATTCTTTTCTGTTCCTTTTCCATTTTCATAGCATATAGCTAAATTAAACATTGCTTCTTTATCACCATTTTCTGCCAATTTTTCTAAAGAATTAATGCATTTTTTACACCATAATTCTTCAATAAAAGGTTTATTGCAATATATACAATTCTTGGTGTTTACTGTATCAGTATCTTTATCTGAGATATTTAAGTTACTGAATTCAGTTTCCATTTGGTTATTTTAGAAATTTATTTGTAAAAATTGTTATTCTTTTCTAGACAATTTTTTCTTGGCAAAGGTTTTATTCAAATGTCATGAATTAGTTAATAAAAAGGAATGTTCTAACCAAAAAAGAAGTTACACAATTTTTTGAGCCATATTTTTTCTGATGCACTAATCTGTGTTGAGAAATTCCTTTAAAATACAGTGTGTAATAATAAAGTCATTTTTCTTACAAAATGAATGTTTAAACTTTAAAGTAAATTAATTACTTTACATTTGGAAATTGATATTGCCCGTCGATCCATCGACCAATTTTTTTATGATGGTATTGACATCCAAAAGACTTTGCCTACCATCAAAACACCGGTTGGTGGTGAAACAACAAATGGTTATCTAGCACAAACTTCACAAATTCGAAGCTTATTATCCTTTTCTCACGGAAGTTTCTCAGAAAATAGCACTTCGGACTTGGTTCCTTGGGAATTTTTTTGACTCGCGGTACAGCAACAAACTTAGCACGTGGCGTCGTGGTGGGCTGAAATTTTTTTTCTCGAGGAACCAATGATAATGGAGAGCGATTGCATCATCAGACTCATCGGTGGGGCTGAAGTCACGGTCACGTGATTACCCATAAACAATTACGCCAATGCAAATCAAAATTGGATTTGGTCATTGAGGAGGATTTCGTACCCTAGATATATTTAAATTTATCGATAGCGGGTCTAGTACATTAGATTAGATACGTTAGTTCGATTTATTTTAGTTTTAAATCGGTTAGTTATAAGGTTATTGGTAATTTTTAGTAAACAATACCTCTATGTATTTTATCACAATTATGTATCTAGTCTATGACTAATTAATAAAATGCGCTGCTAATTATAAAAAATTACTTTCTATTTATCATATTTATAGAAAAATAAAAAAATTATATAATAAATTTTAATTTTGTATTTAAATTTATATTATTTTTGCGTTAATTTTCTCAAAAACTAGCTTATCATATCTATCCTATAATATTTTAAATTTGATGTAATTGTCATTAAAATTTTGAATATAAATTACTTTATAGATTTAAAAATGATTTTTGCTTCAAATCACCGGGTGATTATCACCGTTGGCCAGAATTATCAATTTTTACCGGCACTATATTTTTTAATGCTTGTCGATCATTATAATTTCAGTCCCCGGTGATCATCACTCCCGGTGAAAGTTAGAAAAAATCTTAAAAAAATTGATTTTTATAACATGCACATATATATTATTTTTACGTTATCGCATATATTATATGTATTAAAATTGACCTTTTCAATTAAAAAAAAACGTTTTCATTTTTTTAAACGTATAATAATTTGAATAAAAACTATTTATTGAATTGCAGATATTAAAAATTTTAAATATTTATTATCACTTAAGAGTGGACATTTGGTGGAAGTGTAACAAATAATATCCTATTAAGCTCGATAAAATTTAAGATAAATCATTTAGCTTTTAGAAATTTAAAAGAGATAAAGGCACCTTTTCTAAGTGACTCCAATTTGCGTTGCGAGAAGCCATTATTTATAAACTTACTAATTATGAAAGTAATTTTGTGACATGCTTCATTTCCTATTAATGGATTTTTCGTCCTGAAATAAAATATCCAGATTTCTCCAAAATCTAATATAATTAAATTAAATAAGGGTTATTTATACTATATGTCTCCGTAAAAGAAAAAGGAGCAATACGCTGAATCTGATATGTGTAAAGATATAACATTAAATAAAATATTATATGCTTTGTCGATTAGATAGGGATAGAGACTAGATGGGGATGGAAAAAGTTCGTCGTTCCATTCAGTTTGGTGCATCGGTTCCAATTTCGTGTAGTTTATGAGTCGAATATTTTAGAATATAAAGAGAGTGATAAAGAGTGGTATTTTTTCAATTGTTCTTAAATTACTTATGGAATTAAATTGTGCTTTAATAGGAAAGAAGGTATTGACTCCTCTTATAGTAAAACTACAGATGGAAAAATTTTTAAATTTAGTCCTTTGGTGAAGAGAGGGACGAAAGTATAAGTTAGTCAAGAATTTAACTTAGATTATTATCATGGCCCCTCTTTATTTAATATTCAATTATATAGAATTCCTGAATATAATGCAGAATATTGTGATACACCTGGTATGGAATTAGTAGAGACTATACAAATTGAATTTCCAGATGCTCATTTAGGTTTAAATAGGCCACTTACCTTTGGAATTTCTTTTGGCTGCATTTGCAAAGAATTTAATAAATGGACAAATGTATGTAACTACATTTGGTCCAAATGATGTTAATAGTTACCATTCAATATTATTATACTTTAAATTATTGTAATTTACTGAATTTATAAGATTGATAAATTCCATTACTTTATAATCTTAATGTATATACTAGTAGTTGTTTAATAATATAGTTTAAAAGAACTTTAATAAAAGATGTAAAATAAAAATAACATAAAAACAGCAGTACTTATTATTAAATTATTTAACATTTAAGGTGAGAATTTGCCATACACTATTATGATATAAGATTTTTTTTTTTTGTGTTTTAAGTTTTAGTTAAGGAATTATCTAAGAGATAATAATGTTTATAAATATTTCATTCATAATATAAAATATAAAACGGGTATAAAACGGGTTGAGTATTACTAAAATTTTTCCAAATAGCTAATTATAACCGATTTTTAGGTCAAATTATTATTTGCATTCTTACCAAATTAACTTTTGAAGTTACAGCTGATAATCAGACATTTAGATTAATTTTGGAAACCTTCTTCATAACAGGTTAAATATGAGTTTATAAATTTACAAAAAGCAGATTTGTTTCGTTAATTCAATTTTATGATATTGAAGATACAGATTTTTTTTGCAGTTACCTCGGCGAAAGATCACGCTTGTAAATTATCATAAGCATAATGTTATTAATGTTATTCACACAATAAAATGGTGGATATCAATATTTTGATCTTAAAATGAAGCCAGATAATGGAATTATTCCTAACAAATTTTGAAAAGATAGTGTAAAATTATTATTGTTTGAAATCTTTAGCAATACACTCAAATATTACTGCTTTAATATGAATGTTTATAATGTTAATAAACTAGTAAATAAGAAATTATTTACCGTTATTTAGTATATACCGTATATAGTTTTAAATAAAAAATACAATTTATTAGTTAATTTTTTGAAACACATTTTTAGGTTCATCCGTTCTGAACAATTTATGATCCATGTCAATGTAAGCTTGGCTTTCATAAAATTTATCCTGAGAGAGAGAAATTCATCTTTTACAGTATGATTAGTAAAGTTTGTTAAATAATTAAGCAATTACATTATTAAAATTTTAAAATTGAAAAGTTGAAAAGTTGTAACTATGTACTTTCTTATTATTGAAATCATATTTTAATATTTTAATAATATTTTAATGTTAAGTATCTTTAGTCTTTTAATAATCTACTTTATGTAATTTGTACATATATCATAATTTTCTGCCAGTAGAATTAAAATGATCACGTTACAATACATTGAACAAATTATTTCACAAAATGGCGCAGCGAAGTCGTTTATATTTTACATGATGTGCAACTTGTGCAACAATACAAATTAAATTTTACTTAATAAATCTCATGATTTTATTGGAAAATTTTGTAATCGGATTTAATAAATTAAATAATGAATTTGTTAATTTATTAGAAGAAAATTAAAATATTAAACAACAATATAAAAATCTTGAAGAAAAAAATCAAGAAATTTTACATATAAATTCAAATTTAATTGAAAAAAAATAATTAAGTCTTTCGTAATAATTTTGATTTAAAAAGAAAAAGATAACAATTTGAAAAACTTCAGCGGTGTTACTTTTGATTTAACCGCTCGCAAATTAGTTGGAAATAATCCATTGCAGTATAGTGAAATTATTGAGCGTATTGGGGACTTCTTTGGAAGTATATTTATAGACAATGAATTTATTAAGTTTTTACGTGAAAAACTTGGAACTCGAGCCATAGGTCTATTAATGGAAAATAATTATGATCAATCTCAGTGTCTGATGCAAGAATTCTGTCAACATGTAAAAGATCCTTTCACGAGAGATGATACAGAATATAATTATATATTGGATATTAAAGAAAAAGCTCCGCTTTTATTGTCACACGTCAATAGAAAGACCAAGAAAATCATGAAAAAAAATGAATGGCTAATTAATATTAATTACGATGACATAAAATCAATGTTTGATCCTATAATTGATGGAATTATCTGTTTAATACATTCACAACTTTCAAATAATATATTTATAAAAAAGGATTAAACAAGAATTTAATCATACGGTGAAAAATATTTCAGTTCCTATAGTAGCAATTGCACATGGAGCAATAATTTATGGATTATCTAAAAAATCAAATTGTTTGAATAATAATTCAGTTGAAGATAATATGAAAAATATCGATTCTTCGAGAGTACTTAAATATACTTTAGGAATTGATGTTGACTCCCTTTATGGAAAATCTAATGATGTTGAAATTCATAGATTTTGGTTTTGGCCAATCGAGGTACTGCAATAGAATTAGACCAAACCTTTTCTTTTAATTTTGAATCTGAATTCAATCAAAAAAGTGAAAATTTTGCAATTTACTACACAAAAAATGACAATGTACAACACTGTGAGGTACTTCTTGGGGTATTAAAAATCATTCTTCCAGGTATATTATAATTATTAATTACTAAATTTATGGAATTGAATATTTTAATAATTAATATTTTTCTTGGAATAATTATTAGATGTATATTTTTATAATCGAAGTATCAATTTTGGATTAACTTTCGGTCAAAAAGGAATTACTGCATTTGCAAGGAATGAACTTAATGGTCAAAATCATACGACAACATTTTGTTATCTAAATAATGTATTTTAACATTAGTTTTTAAATTTTAATGATACAATATTAATATTTGGGATGCTAACGGTCGACAGTTTAGTTATGATTACCAATCTACAAATCTGATTAATATAATATGAAAAATATGAAATAAACTGCCTGTACAAATGGACTATTCTAAATCATGAGTTGATTATATAATCACAATATTAATACACAAAAAAAAAGAAAGAAATTGAATAGCAAAACAAATAATTGTCAATAAATTGTTCATGATGTACCAGCATTTTTATCAATTAACTAGATTGTAAATTTAGAAAAAATACTGGTATAAAAAAAATGAATTTACGTATAAATTACAATAAAAAGTAAGATTTGAATCTAAATAATTGATAATTTACAAAATTTATTATTATTTGAATCCTTTTTTCAATTTAAGCGGATATTTTTTAAAAATATAAACAAATTAACATATAACAATAAAAGCAATATCTTTCTTCAACGAATGAGTTGTCTATCTATTATTATGAATACATAATAAGTTTTTTCAGACGATTTTGATATCCGAAAAGTTTATTAATAGGAAGACCAATTTTACAAAAAATATTATAATTTAAAAATGTTAAAAACAAAAACCAGAAGAATAATTTTGTAAAATGTCATTAAAAAACATTTTATTTAAATAAGGTAAATTTTTAATAGAAGTAAATTAATTTTGATAAAAAATTTTATTTAAAAAGTCTATCTTACGGTTAAATTCTCAATGATTAATCACATATGGTTAAGATAATTTCCATAACATTTTAAGCAAATTTTTGCCCAAAAACCTATGATTAAAGCCTAACTTGGTTGGATTTGTATTATTTATTTCATGGGTAATCCCCTGGAGCGTGTCACTCATTAAATATTAACTATTTTAAACTAAACTATTTTAAACTTAAATTAGTAATTTCCCGGCTATCTATATGAGGCCAGACAATAAGTAAATGAAGATTCCCGGTCATTTATAAACTCAGCTAATCACTTGCAATTTGTATGAAGGTGATCTTGAGTGACAATTAGTGCGACAGGAGATTGGATAATTATTTTCTACATAGAATTACAATCATCATTATTCTGTCACGTGTAAGGGCAATTATTCTATATAGAATGCTTCTACACATAGTACAAATAATGAATCGTGTGTTACTTCTACTTTTTATTTCATACAAAATGATTCAAAAGTTCAAATTATTTGTTACTTAAATCAATTTTTCATTGTAAATTTCTAGTGAGTTTAAATTAGCGCTTTTAGAAACGTGATATTGACAAATGATGACGTTAATGTTAATACCGAAACACGTGACTTTATAAATCAACGAGATGTTTTTCTATCACTACTGTATTTCTGATGAACACACAAAGTAGCCTTAAAAAACTTTAAATAAGATAATCATTTCAAAAAGTTAGACTTCAAATGGGAAAACATTCAAATATTAGGGTAATGTTAAAAAGTTTCATAATTTTTATAATTTTTTTTATATTATATCTTGAAAAAATATTGTATTGTAATAAAGAAAACTCTTTATAGGACCTTTGATTAGAGAGAACCATTGAAAAATGTTCGTGTAATAATTTGTACCAAAAATTTGCGGAAAGAGTCCCTCTTTCGAAATATTTTTTTATGTACCATATTAAATCATTTAAAATAAAAGAATCATGTGATTTTTCCTGACCAGAGGTCAGCGAAATCAATTAGTTACTGCGACTTCATAACAATATTAATTTTGACGCATTGTGCGACAATATTGGAATCATCACTCCAAAAATGAATATATCGGGCGTAATAACAATTTGATACTTCCCTTTTTAACATATAAAATTATAAAATATTTCCAAAAGGATCATTCAATTTTACATTCATGCATTTTAGTTAACAGATTATGGTGTCATTTAACGATTCCGTTATTATGGGGAAATCAAAATATCGTGTTTTTAATATTTACTTAAATGATGATATTAAATGAAATGAAATCAAATAGATATAAAATTATCAAATACACTATTCAATTATCCTAGTTTTTTAAAATATTTAAATACATATAATTTTATTTTATAAATTTACTCAATCTAAATAAAATATACATTCATTGATTGTTGATGATCAATGATTTTTTATCAATCAAAAAATCTGAAATCTGATGATACTACAATTTTGACTCATATTGTATTATGCGTATCTATTATACATCTATCAAAAAAAAACTTTGATGGTCTATTATGAAATGAACCATGTATTTTTGCATTTCGTTCTTGAACCCGAAATTAACAAAAAAGAAAATATCAAGAAATGTTTATAAATCTTTTTATTAATAACATCACATATGTTAAAATTCTTCAACACTTGTTATATTATATATTACTTGTATTTAGGTAATTAAATAATAATTATTTGTAATAATGTGATATAAAATATATATGATATAATATACATATAAGTTATTAATTATTATTACTCATATTACTTATTTAGTTCCGATCTTTTCATCAGATGTTGGGCGTGTGATAATTGTATGGTTTATCGTGAAATTTATCATCGGATCAAAGTGTAATATTGAGTCATCTTTTGAATCATCCAATACATGTATAAAAAAAATTATATATATATACACATACATACATACATATAAAATTTTAAAAATACGCAAAAAAAAAATTTTCTTTTTTTTTATTACCAATATCCGTTACTTTCGTACACAAAAAATATATTAAAAAATACATCGCACGGAGCAACAAATATCGATTTTTTTATTTTTTTTTGTTGCTCTTTACTATACCTTTCTTCCAATAAACCTTATATATATTACTATATACCTAAATTTTTCTAAAAACACAAAATGCAGTCAACTTCAATACAAGTTTTCCAACAACAACAACAAGAAATTTCTAAAATACGTCCTGGAATAGTCGCAAACTTTATATATAAAGTTGTTGAACTTGCTACCTATACTTCCGATTTTGCCGATGATGCTATAAATATATTAACTGGAAGTCATTCAAATAGACAAAATTATGGTTACGATGATAATGATGATGAAAATGTCTATGACCATAAGAAAAAAGATGTTTCTACTTGGAATGAAAATGTAGAAACTGTTGAAGATGAAGAGCCTCCTCCATCTTACGATAATTCAACTGAAACTAAATCTTCACTTACAATTTCTACATCACTCTCGCAACAAGATTATCCAACTACTCAGTCTGAAACTAAACCTTCATTTACAATTACTACATCACCCTTGCAACGAGATTATCCAACTACTCAGACTGAAAATGAACCTTCATTTACAATTTCTACATTACTTTCGCAACAAGATTATTCAACTACTCAGTCTGAAAATAAACCTTCATTTACAATTTCTACATTACTTTCGCAACAAAATTATCCAACTACTCAGACTGAAACTAAACCTTCATTTACAATTTCTACATCACCCTTGCAACGAGATTATCCAACTACTCAGACTGAAAATGAACCTTCATTTACAATTTCTACATCACTTTCGCAACAAGATTAT